ACATTAGTGGAGCGTAGGCATGCAAGGATGGCGTGGCGGATGTGGGGAGATCTTAGGGTTGCTGGAAATCGAAAACCAGAAGTGGGATTCGATTCCAGGGGGGTCAAATTAGGACCCCCGCGGGCGAGCCGCGCGACTCGGCGGTCGAGCCGAAAACGAGCCAGCTCGAATTTGGCTCGACCAAAAACTTGCGACGAGCCGAGCCGAGCTGCGCGGCTCGACCGACTCGACTCGGCTCGACTCGGGGCGAGCCGGCCAAAAAAAAGACCCGGCTCGACTTGCCAAAAGGGCGAGTCGAGCCGGGTCGAGCCGAGCCTGACTCGGCATGTTGCCCATGTCTAACGCCAACACACCACTACAACCTCTCCTCAGCCCCCCTCCCCCCTGCACAGCTGATATTCCACGAGAACGTGCCATGCGCATGCTGCACCTCAACTTAACACACGACCGCACCACGTTACCACCCCTCTGCAACCCCCCTGCAGGTGATCTTCCACGAGAACGTGGACATGCGCATGCTGCACCAGGTGCTGTTCAAGGAGCGCCCCATGCGCATGAACCCCAAGCTCTTCCAGCACAGCATCTTCGACAAGTCCAGGGAGGCGCAGTCGCACATCGTGCTGCCAGAGGTGGGTTCACTCGCACAGAGTGCTGCCCAGAGGTAAAGCTGTCACCATTCCCATTCCACCACTGCCTTTGAACCCCCCTACACGTCCACTTTCTGGCTTCCCGGTCCCTCCTCCTCCTTCCGCCGCTCCTTCCTGGCTTCCCACTTCTTCAACCCGCCCTTCCCGCTTCCCCCTTTTGACCTGCCCCTTCCGTCATCGAGCCTTCTCCCTCCTCCGTGATTTCTTCTCAGATTCACACTCGCACCCCAACAAGAAGCAGACACTCAAGCAGATCCTCCGTGACTTCTCCTCCCCTATATGACACCTCCTCCTCTGGATCTGATCATCTCATACCACCCCCCCCCCCCCCTCCCTCCCCCTCCCCCCTCACTTCCCCCGCCCCCCCCCCTTCCCCCTCTTCCCCCCCTCCCCCAGGGAGCGGAGCCGCGGACCATCCAGGTGGCAGGGGAGGTGCTGCGGCGGTCGCTGTGCCGCGTGACGCTCAGAAGCAACCGGGACGAGATCATCACCAAGCAGCTGCGCGTGCCTGCCCCTTTCACCTGCGCCTCTCCTATCTACCTGCACACCCTAACAGAGAACAGCCCCCCAAACCCCTGCCCCTCCCTCCCTCCCCCCCCCTTCTCTCCTGCCTCCTCCCCTGCCAACCATAGGGAGCTGAGCCCCGGACAATTCAGGCAGCAGGGGAGGTGCTGCGGCGGTCGCTGTGCCGCGTGACGCTCATAGGAAACCCCGACGAGATCATCACCGCCGCCAAGCAGCTGCGCGTGGACGTGTCGGGCGCCGATATCATCTACCCGCCCTCTGCCCCGAACCTGGACCATTACGCCGAGCTGCTGTACCAGGCTCGGAAAGACAAGGTGGGCAGCATGCTACATGACTGGATTAGGTGGGTGCTGCTGGTGCGCTGCTGTGCTGGGCTGGCCAGGAGAAAGGGAAGGTGGGTGGGTGAGTGCATGCATGCAGAGGCTGCACCGACGCGATGAGTTTGCCACTGCTGCCAAGCAGCTGCAGGAGCGATATCATCTACCCGCCCACCGCGCCATCGGGACGGGACCCGTGGAGCAGAGTGAATGTGTCGGGGCTCTGGCGCTGAAATCACTTGCCCCGCTGGAAGCACACGGCGAACACACATGTTCACACACCCCTAGTGCCACGCACATGCTCATCGTTCCCCCGCTTATCTCTCACTCTCTCCACTCCACATGCGCCCATCCCCCTTGTTTCGTGCATGCAGGCCGGGCGTAATATTGATGGGGGCACACGAGCACATGATCACTTGCCCCAACTACCTGGGCACAGCCATGGTGGCAGTCGGTGGCAGTCAGTGGCAGTCAGTGGCAGTCAGTGGCAGTCAGTGGCAGTCAGTGGCAGTCAGTGGCAGTCAGTGGCAGCCAGTGGCAGCCAGTGGCAGCCAGTGGCAGCCGGTAGCATGGTTGTTTGCTCCATTCAGCCTGTCCCGTCCCGCTCCCCTTTTGTCTCCTCAATGCAGGGCGTAACACTGATGGAAGCTCATGAGCTCATGAGCACAGGAGCACAAACCCCAAATACCACTGCTCTCGTCTTTCCCACCTTACCCCTCACACCCCACCAGGGCGTGACCCTGATGAAGGCACACGGGCACATGATCAGTGACCTGAACTGCAACCTTTCTCACCAGTTCCCTCCCCTTTCTCGTCTGCTTGCCTGTCTGCAGGGCGTGACTCTGATGGAGGCACACGATCACATGATCACAGATCCCAACTACCTGGGCACAGCCATGGTGGCGGCTGGCGATGTGGATGGCATGGTGTCCGGTGCCGTGCACACCACCATCGCCACCATTCGACCCGCGCTGCAGATGATTCCCGTGAGTACTCCTTTGAGACGTCAAAAAATCATACTAGCCATGGACTGTGTTGATCAGCATTGTGAATAACACTGCCACCACAATTTCCGCCTGTACCCGCCCCATGCGATTTCATTCCACACTCCTCTCCTCATGCACACTCACTTGTCTGGTCTCTTGCCCCATCCTATCCGTCCACATATTTTCCCTCCAGAAACTGCCCAACACCGAAATTATCTCCAGCGTCTTTTTTATGTGCCTGCCCGACCGCATCTACATCTACGGTGACTGCGCCATCAACTCCAATCCGACGGCTGAGGAGCTTGCGATGATCGCCATCTCGTCTGCCGACACCGCTGCTGACTTTGGTGTGGAGCCGCGCGTTGCCATGCTCTCGTATTCCACCATGGACGAGAGAAAGGAAGGTGAGAGGGAAGGGAAGGTGAGAGGGAAGGGAAGGTGAGAGGGAAGGGAAGGTGGTTCTGAGAGTTTTCAGGAGTCTCTATTCCTGCCTTTGGCGTTTGCCAGGCACCATAGTGCTGAAAGTGGTGCGGGCAACACTACCTTCAGCTGTGTTGCGCCCCCACTTGTTGGTAACAGGACCCCTGCAGTACGATGCGGCTGTCAACCCCATGGCTGCACTTGGCCCTCTCTAACTCCCTTTCTCTCCCTTTCCCCCTCTTTCCCCTCCCTCCCGTCCCCCCAGACACCATAGTGCAGAAGGTGGTGCGCGCCACACAGCTGATCAAGCAGCAGCGGCCAGACATTCTGGTGGAGGGACCCCTGCAGTACGATGCTGCTGTAAACCCCATGGCCGCCCACAACAAGATGGACGGCAGAGAGTCCGACGTGGCCGGCAAGGTTCGTCCTGCTGACCGATTGGTGTCCTATCCTATTGTAGTGTTGGGCACAATAGACTTAATTCCTTTGGCTTCATCGTATGTGCGCGTGGGAAATGGGGCCTGGTTTCCTCCTGGGATCTCCTTAAAGCCCAAAAATATATATATATATATATATATATATATATCATCGTATGTGCGGCCGAGATTGCGAGCAGCCTGCGAACCATTTGGAACGACCATCAGGGCTTGTCAACGCCCTTCCATTTCATTTATTGACTTTCTTTTGAATCTTTGCTTCTCGCCTGCTCCTCCCCCTGCAGGCCTCTGTGCTCATCTTCCCCGATCTCAACACGGGCAACAACACCTACAAGGCTGTGCAACAGGTGAGTGTGGCCTGGCTTCCTCCTTGCCTCCTTGCACTCTCTCTTGCCTCCTCTCTTCCCTTTTCCCCTCACTCTCTCCTTCCTGTTGTGTAGGGAAGTTTTTCTTTTCCACTTCCTGCCCCCACGTCATACCTCTGAACCGAGTTCGATACCCGTCGCATGCCTCTCCACCACCTGCAGGCCAAAGGAGCCATCACCATGGGTCTAGTGCTGCAAGTATTGACTCCTCTATTAAAGCCCAGGTCCCAAATTAGTCTAACAGGCATCAAACTGGGCCCAGTTTGATGCTGACGGCGCTTGCGAAGCACCGAATGAAAAAAGAACCAAATATTCCTTCGCCACAGAAAGGGGAAAAATCGAGGTTGGGATATCTACGGTGGTTATTTGTAAGCAAACTGGGCCCAGTTTGCTTACAAATGCAGTTTCCGTCGTTGGTTCGGGCTTGCCAAACCCAACTCCCATGAAACTGTGCTCTCGCTAGTTCTCCAGTCGACGGATATAACTGTTCTTACAAATTGGGACTTCATGTGTCCCTGCGTCTCAGCCGTCAGATCCGCGTTTGGCCCAAATTGATCTCCCCCCAAATCAAACTGGGCCCAGTTTGCATACGAAATGCTGCGCGAAGAAACATAATGACATGGTTTCGCACCCAACAACTAAATTGTTTCTTCCACCCGCCCAGCCCAAATTCTGCCTGTTGACTTGTGTGAACTAATTTGGGATCTGGGCTTTAACTACTCTACTCTCCCCCCTCTATTTTTGTTTTCTACTCCCCCCCCCTCTTCCCCCTCTCTCTCCATGCGGGCCGCGGGCACCATCGCCATGAGGCCAGGGCTGGGATCTTCTCGGAACTACTCCCCTCCCTCAATCTTTCTATCCTTCTCCCCTCCCCTCTCCCCCCTCGCTCCCTGTGCAGGCCACGGGCGCCATCGCCATGGGTCCAGTGCTGCAGGGCTTGAGTCGGCCAGTGAATGACTTGAGCCGGGGATGCACCACCAAGGACATCGTTAACACCATCGCCATCACCAGCGTGCAAGCAGCGGCTGGGAAGGCGGCACGCACAGCACAAGCGGCTGCGGCTTGAGCTGACAGCTCTTAAAATATATTCGATGATAGAAAAATGATAGTGAAAGGGCATGATAGGGAAGAATGTCGTTGAGCATGTCGACAAGTATTGTATGTACCATACAGTCAATTATGCAGCACAAGCAGGTGTAGGTTATATCTTCTACCCTACTCGGACGCAGTTTTATCGCGGACTCTGGGAACAGCAGGTTTCCGCGCGTGAATGACGCCACCCTCGGCTCATCAGCTTGTTCTGAATCAGCCTGTCGATCACTTGCTGCTTGCTATGTCCACTCCTGTCTCTCGCAGCCGTATCGCCTTGCCTCGAGGCCACGGGTAATAAATTTCTGAGGTGCCTCGAAACTGAACTGCATCGCTCTGCCTCGCTGTCAAGCTGATCGACTTCCCGCTGCTGCTGCTGCTGCTGCTGCTGCTCATCTGTCCGTGCCCGCTTCTACTTAGTCAGTTGGCTGGTTCTAAGGCGCCTCAAAAGCTCGATAGTTAGTCGGCGCGGCGCCATGTACGGAATGGGAGCACCGATGCACTTCCAGCAGCACCACCCGTCGCCCTTCTCCCACGGGCCGATACCCCACCGCTACCCCACTCCCCCGCATCCCGGCGGCGCGGGGTTCGCGCAATACCCCGGCGGACCCCCCGCGCAGCCGCCGCTTCCGCACCCGCAGCAGCAGCAGGCGCAGCAGCAACAGGCGCAAGCGCAGCTGCAACAGGCGCAGCAGATTTCGTCGTCGCAGCAGCAGCAGCTGCAGCAGCAGCAGTCGCAGGGCCAGTCGCAAGGACTGTCGCAGGGCCAGTCGCAGCAGCCGCCGGCGCCGGCGCCACTGCCGTCGCAACTACGAGCGGGAAAGGACCCGTTTAGGAATCTCTACAGTCGAGAGTTCGTTGGTCACAAGAAGAAGGTAGGCGGCAAGTGGGAGGAAAGGGAATTTGGGATATGGAGAAGTGAGACCGTTCCAGGCGAGAGGGAACATGGGGAGGCGAGAGGCGAGACAGGTGAAAGGTAGGGAGACGCAAGAGGAGAAAGATAGGAGGTCCAATGGGCGAATGGGGACGACGGGGTTGGTCTATTTCTTTTCTCTTACAGCCTTCAGGACGTGCTTGTGTTTTGTGTGTTGACTCCAGATTATGAGGTGGAAGCATTCTGTTTTTGCGTGTATTTATTCCATTTTCCGAACCAGGTGCATTCGGTGGTGTGGAATTGCCTCGGCGAGAAGCTTGGGTCAGGTTCGGTAGACCAGACCATCCGCGTGTGGCAAGTGGATCCCAGCGGCCAATCAAACTCCGTGAGTCATTCCTCAGCGTGTAACAGTGTGTTTGAATTGCTTTCTAATGAGGAAGCTCTTCACTCGTCCACACCCATGCTCTCCAGTCGTTTCACCGTGAGAGATGGTGGACAATCCGAGCAGTGCTGATCATGGATCCCTTCTGGCTGCTGCTCTGGCAGTTGAGCCTTTCTGCTCTTTGCCTCTGTGCGTTCACCGCAGGAACCGCGAGGTGGAGCTGAGCGGAGGGCGCACAGCGAGAGCGTGGACAACCTGTGCTGGGACCCTGTCTCACTCACACGGGCTGCATTGGTTGTGCTCGTCTGTTCTTTGCCTGCATCCATGTCATGTGCAGAGCAAGCAGCGCGAGGTGGAGCTGAGGGGGCACACGGAGAGCGTGGACAACCTGTGCTGGGACCCACTTCACCCGGATCTGCTCGCCTCGGCGTCTCAAGACAAGTCTGTGCGCATTTGGGACACCAGATGTGAGTCAAGGGAGCCAGATGCTTGTTGATGTTCTCGTGCACATTCACAATCTCGTTGATGCGCATTTACAGACTCATTCATGCACATCCGCGTTCGCATTCATGCACTGATGCGCGTGCCTGCCTATTTTTGAGGCGCCTCAAAAATCGCATTTATGCACTGATGCGCGTGCCGAATGACAGGCCTGCCTGCCGAGATGACTTCTGAGTCGACTCAAAAGCTCATGCACTGATGCGCGTGCCTGCCTGCATGCCTGCATGCATGCACGCATGTGTGCTGCTCCCCTTCCACATCAGCGGCCAGGTGCGAGCAGAGTGTGACTCTAAAGGGGGAGAACATCAACGTCACGTACAAGCCTGATGGCACGCACATTGCAGTGGGCAACAGTGTGAGTGGGCTGTAGGCTGTACCTTGAATGTGTCGTACCAATTGCACCATGGAAGCGCTATACGCCATCGTTTTAGCACCATATCGTTTATTGGAGCTAGTACCATGATCCGGAACCCCATGGAGAGGTCACCTTTGCCCCATGGGATTCCACGGGTGCATGCCTGCAGGCAGACGAGCTAACCATTCTGGATGTGCGCAAGCTGAAGCCGATTCACAAGCGCAAGTTCAACTATGAGGTGCGAGCCTGTGGAGGGTCAACCAGCTATAGGTTGGGCAGCTACCAAGCACGTGTTGTCCAGTTGATCTTTAAGTCACACTCACTAGCCACCTCAATGTGAGGTGAGTCTCACACCTCTCACTCACACCACTCACTCACACCACTCACTCACACCTCTCACTCACACCTCTCACTCACACCTCTCACTCGCATCTCCATCTATTCTCCCTCTCGTTTGGGCCCTCCTCCCTTCATCCTCCACTTCTCACATGTCTGCCTCCTCCCATGCCCCCGTACTGTCACTATCTGCAAACTGTCTCCTCTTATCGCTCTCTGCCTGCAGTTGAACGAGTTTGCGTGGGACCGCTCAGGCTCCATCTTCCTGGTTACAACCGGCACAGGTGGGTGGGTCTAGGGCCGTAAAGCCGGCACAGCTGGGTGGGTCTAGGGCCGTAAAGCCGGTACATGTTGGTCTGCTCTGCTCTATTCCCCCTACCATCCTCCTGTGTTGACTGCTGTGGCGCATAGAGAACAAGGTGCTGTTTGCGTGTGTGTTTTCATCTGATAGTATCCGGATGAGAGATTTTGATCATTCTAGAAAATATGATAGTATACAGATGAGAGATTTTTTAGAATTCTGAGAGTATCCTGATCGTCGTGCGTCCTTCACCCTGTTGTCCCCCTCCTCCCCTCCCTCCTCCCCTTCCTCCTCCCCTTCCTCCTCCCCTTCCTCCTCCCCTTCCTCCTCCCCTTCCTCCTCCCCTTCCTCCTCCCCTTCCTCCTCCCCTTCCTCCTCCCCTTCCTCCTCCCCTTTCTCCTCCCCTTCCTCCTCCCCTTCCCTTCCTCCTCCCCTTCCTCCTCCCCTTCCTCCTCCCCTTCCCTTCCTCCTCCCCTTCCCTTCCTCCTCCCCTTCCTCCTCCCCTTCCTCCTCCCCTTCCTCCTCCCCTGCCTCCTCCCCCACCCTCTTCCCCCTCCCCGCCCCCTCCTGCGTCTTCCCTTCTCATTTTAACTTGCAGGCGCAGTGGAGGTTTTGGGTTACCCCTCCCTGCAGACACTAGACACCCTCCACGCGCACACTGCAGGAGTCTACTCCCTTGCCATTGACCCCCTTGGGAGGTGAGTGTGTGTGGTGTGGGTGTGGATCCGGGTGTGGGTGTGGGTGTTCGTTTTTTAGGCGCCTAAAAAATCGTTTTTCCCTTCAGTCCTTCACTCCTTCACTCCTTCACTCCTTCACTCCTTCACTCCTTCACTCCTTCAGTCCTTCCGTCCGTCCGACCCCTTCGCCTTCCTCGTTTCCCCTCCCCTTCCCGCTCCCTCCATTGTCCTCCGCGCCCCCAATCCCCCCTCCCTCAGATACTTTGCAGCAGGGAGTGCCGATGCGCTGGTCAGTCTGTGGGACATGCGCCACATGCTGTGTGTGCGCACTTTTACCAGACTCGAGTGAGTACCTGGGGATATCTGGCAAGAGCTTTTGGAACAATCACTCACGATGCACTGGTCAGTCTGTGGGACATGCGCCACATGCTGTGTGTGCACACGTTCACAAAACTCGAGAGTGAGTGCCACGTGCTCTGTGCCATGTGCCATGTGTTATGTGTGCCATGCCATGTGCCATGTGTTATGTGTGCCATGCCATGTGCCATGTGTTATGTGTGCCATGCCATGTGCCATGTGTTATGTGTGCCATGCCATGTACCATGTGTTATGTGTGCCATGCCATGTACCATGTGTTAGGTGTGCCATGCCATGTGCCATGTGTTATGTGTGCCATGCCATGTGCCATGTGTTATGTGTGCCATGCCATGGGCCATGTGTTATGTGTGCCATGCCATGTACCATGTGTTATGTGTGCCATACCATGTACCATGTGTTAGGTGTGCCATGCCATGTGCCATGTGTTATGTGTGCCATGCCATGTGCCATGTGTTATGTGTGCCATGCCATGTGCCATGTGTTATGTGTGCCATGCCATGTGCCATGTGTTATGTGTGCCATGCCATGTGCCATTCACTGTCCTGTGGCCAGCCTATGGGATATTCACACAACACATGCCTAGAGTGAGTAAAGACATCTCATGACATGACATGACATGTGATATGTTGCACTACATACCTTCCCTCCCCCTTCCCCCCACCATTTTCTCAGGTGGCCAGTACGCACAGTGCATTTCAGTCATGATGGGAGGTACCACTTCCCACTCCCTTGCCCTTTTGCCTGCATTGGTTAATTCACTCCCCAATTTCTCCTCCACCTCTCCTGTGTTCCCTCCCCCTCCCCCTCCCAACGCCCTTGTTCAGGTGGCCAGTGCGCACAGTGAGCTTCAGCCATGATGGGAGGTACCTCGCGTCTGCTAGTGAAGATCTTTTCGTCGACATTGTAAGGCATGCAACATGCAGCATGCAGCATTGCAAGCTGACTTTTGAGTCGACTCAAAGCGCAGCACGCAGCGTGCACATTATGTGTGTACTGTGCACAGACGTACAATGCACCATGCAGCTGCCATTACCTTCCTCTGTCTCTCGCTCCTGTCCGCTCGTGGCGCCAACGCACCCTTCTCACACTGCCCCTTCATCCCTCTCCCTCCCTCATGCCCCCCTCTCAAACCCGCGTCTCCTAGCAGACTGAGGTGGAAATCATACGCCTTCCAGTCTTTATGAATTCCAAGCCCTGTGACCCACGTGCCCCTCGTGCCCCACGTGCCCCACATGCCCCACATGCCCTCCATCTCTCCCTTTCTTTACCCCCCTCCCTGCTCCCTGCCCCCCGCCCTCATCCGCTTCCCCCACAACAGGCGGAGGTGGAGACGGGTCGGTCGGTGCATCAGATCCCATCCTGGGCGGCGATGAACAGTGTCGAGTGGAACCCGAAGCACCTGCTGCTGGCGTATGCATCCGACGATGACGGCAAGCACTCCTCCCCTGGTGAGCGTGCTTCCTTTTTGTGGCCATAACAGTGCGTCCGCTTGAGCCATCGGTGGATGGGGTTGAGATGAGGAGTGCGGACTGGACTGGCACCTGCTGCTGGCGTATGCATCTGATCCGATGATGATGGCAAGCACTCTTCTCCTGGTGAGTGTGCTGCCCTTTTTGTTGCCATGAGAACAGTGTGTCGGTTTGAGCCTTTGGTGGGTGGGGTTGGTTGAGATGAGGAGGATACAGTGCAGTGGCACCTGCTGCTGGCTTTGAGAAGTCTCAAGAACAGTGTCAGTTTGTGCTTTTAGTGGGCGGGGTTGAGATGAGGAGTGTGGATTGGAGTGGCACGTGCTGCTGGTGTATGCATCGGATTCGATGATGATGGCAAGCACTCTTCTCCTGGTGAGTGTGCTTCTTCCTTGTTGGCGTAAGAGCAGTGTTTTTTTAGCTCTTGGGGGCTGAGTGTAGTCTGGATTGGCATCTGTTGGACAACAACCAAACAATGAACCATGCAATAACTAACGAGTGTAAAACATTATGGAATTAATTCATACTCCAAGCTAATCTTATTAATGTTTCGTGTGTTCTTGTTTGCCTCCTTGTCTCTCAGGTGTCTTCCGTGTCTTCGGGTTTGATTCGCCTTGATCCCGTCAGGAGATCCATGTTATTTCTTGGAAATGGAAGCTGGAATATAAGCCAGTTTATGTGAGGTGGCAAATGTCAAACATATTTGTGTATGTTTAGTAGTCTACATAGGGGCTTGCCATAGAGAGTACAACCCACTAGCTATATACTCCTGTATTCTCTCATTCTAGTCATTCGTTTTAACTCTGAGATGGTATCATGAGTAGGTTAGGTTCCACCCGCCCACCCGCGCTTCCGCCTTAGGTCCTAGCCCCCGCGGCCCCACTCCCCTAGCTCCTAACCGCACGTGGCCCCGTCGGCCCCCGTCGCCTAGCGCCTAGCCGCCCGCGGCCCCGTTGCCCCGCTACGTTGCACCTAGCCGCCCCGCTGGCCCCGCGCCCTCGTCGCCTAGTGCCCTGCCCCTGCGGCCCCGCCGTCCCAGCTGCCCCGCGGCCCAGTCGCCCAGCCGCCCCCGCGGCCCCGTCGTCCCAGCTGCCCCGCGGCCCCGCCGTCCCAGCTGCCCGCGGCCCAGTCGCCCAGCTGCCCCGCGACCCGTCGCCCCTCTGCGCCGCGGCCCCGTAGCCCAGCCGCCCCGCGGCCCTGCTGCCTAGCCGACCCGCGACCCATCACCCAGCTGCTCCGCGGTCCCGTCGCCCGGCCGCCCCTCGGCCCCCGCCCGCTTCACCTGCCCTCTCTACCGCACTGCACCACACTGTACCGCACAGCACCACCCTGCATTGCATTGCACCGCTCTGCACCGCACTGCACCGCACCCCACCTCACTGCACCGCACTTCACCGCGCCCCACCGCACTGCACCGCCCTGCACCGTGTGGCACTGCACTGCAGCAGCTCTCATGGCAGACTCGGTGCTGCGCTTTGACGCGGAGGGTCAGCCGATTGAGTTCGACTCATGGCTAGTCGATCTCCGCCGTCACCTCACTGGTCAGCGGCAGGACGGCCACTCCCTGGCCGTCCACATTGACGGTACGCTCCCCTGCCCTGACCCCCCTGTTGCTCTCCCCGATGACCCCACGTTTGCTGACCGTGAGTCCGCTGCTGCTGCTGCCCTGGCCCGTGGTGTCTGGCTGTCGCGTGACGCTGTTGCTCAGCTCGCAATTAGCCATGCCCTCCCCCTGTCTGAGCGGCCTCGCTTTAAGTCGGTCAGGACTACGCAGGAGTTCCTAGAGGCTGTTGTTGCGCGTTATTCCACCCCGTCCTTTGCCTCTGTCGGCCGACTGATCCTATGCTCTTCCCTGATCTCGTGTCTTTCCTCACTGTCGCTGACCTGGCCACGCACCTGCGCACGCTCGACACTACCTGGCATGCTGCCTGCATTGAGGCCCAGCTTCGTGTGTTCCAGCCCCCTATCTGCTCTACCCTTTACCTGCTTGCCACTCGCCTCCCCGACCGCCTTGCCACTGCCCGCAACCACTTTCTTAGTCTGCACCCCGCTGACCTCACCCTCTCCAACTCTGTCGACACCCTGTCTGCCATAGAGACCCGTCCGCGCTCTATCGCCCAGTTTAGCGGTACTGTGCCGGTCCCTATGTTTCAAGGTTGTGCTCCCGCCCAGTGCTCTTACTCTGACGGTTCTGCAGCTGTAGCTGAGACAGCCACTGCTGCTGAGACCGCTACCGCGGTTCCAGCAGCGCAATCCCGTTATGGTAAGGCTCGCCACCCCAAGGCAGGGCGAGGCAGGGGTAGTGGAGGAGGGAGTGGAGGTGCTGGCGGAGGTGGTTCGTCCGCTGGCGGTAGTATAGACGAGGGGGTTGGGGCTGGTGCCTTGGAGCAGTAGCCCCAGTGGGAGCAGCAGCAGGTGCCACAGCTTGACCACCAGCAGCAGCAGCAGTCGCAGCAGCAGCAGTAGCAGCAGCCGTCGAAGCAGAGGGTCGGCCACCTCGCGCCTGGGTGGCCTGGAGCTGGTGGAGGTGGTGGTGGTGGTCGTCGTCGTCGTCGTGGGCGTAGCTCGGCGTCGGGTGGTGGTGCGAGTGATAGCCGCTGCCAGTACCAGCTCCAGACCGGTCCTCGCCACAACTTCGTGTGCGGTAAGACCGGTCATACCCCCACTCACTGTTTCAGTCGCCTGGACAACCTGTTTCGTCTTCGCTTCGGCCCCGCGCCGGATTTCCCGTACTGGCACAGCCTGTAATGCCGTGGTGTTAGGATCTTTGATATGGACATGGATGAGATTAGCTCTGCGTTGTTTGTGCTGTATGCTGATGACTCTAGTGTGACTGGTTCCTATTACCTTGTTTTGCCTAGTGTAGGTCTCTCCATTGTGCCTAGTTTAGGCTCCCCTGCTGCATCAGGCGAAGGACCCTCTGCTTCGTCTAGCCTTGGCTCCACACTAGCTCCACCGTCCCCAGCAGCCACTGCCGCGCTCTCCTTCACTCTCAACTCGGGCGCGTCTCGGTGTTTCTTTCGCGACCACACTACGCTTACGCCGCTCGCCGTCCCTGCCGCAGTTACCGTTGCTGACCCTTCCTCAGGTCCGGTAGTCGCCCGTAGTTCCACTACTCTCCCCTGTCCGGCAGTTCCTTCAGGCTTTCTTACAGGCCTGCACACCCCCTCGTTCTCTCGGAATCTATTGGTGTCGGTTGTCTTCAGGACCTCGGCGTTCCCTAGTCACGAGTGGTACGCTGTCTGTACCGAGGCTGCCACTGGTGCCCCACTCACCACGTTCCCCCGGGACCCGGTGTCTGGCTTGTTCACGCTGGACATCGCGTCCCCCCCGGTTAGGACGCCCCCCCAGGTGGCAGCGTCTACCTAGGTTGCTGCGGCCTTCTTGTGTCGGTCGCTTACTCACCCGTCGCTTCTGTGGCACCACCGTCTCGGTCACCCCGCTCTCACCCGTCTCTGTCACATGTCTCAGCACGGTCTTGTCTTAGGTCTCCCTGCGTCATTCCCTGCACTCCCCACCTCCGCAGCGCCTCCGTGCACCTCCTGCGTCAAGGGCCGGATCCGCCGTGCCCCTCACTCCTCCTCGTTCCCCCCCACCACTACACTGTTACAGACCCTGCACATGGACGTCTAGGGCCCCGCCCCCCTCCATGGGCCACGTCGTGAGCGTTACTTCCTCGTGCTTGTCGACGACTACACTCGCTACACCACTGTGTTTCCCCTAGAGCAGAAGGCCGACGTGCCTGACGTTCTTATCCTGTGGCTTGTCTCTGCGCGTGTGCACCGAGATCTCCCTGTGTTGCGTCTTCACTCCGATCGTGGTGGCGAGTTTGCCTCTGGCTGCCTTGGTCGCTTCTTTCATGCGGAGAGCATCACCCAGACGTATACCCTTCCGGACTCCCCGCAGTAGAATGGGGTCGGTGAGCGACGCATCGGTTGGTTATGGAGGTGGCTCGTACCTCCATGATCCATGCCGTGCACCCCATTTTCTATGGCCGTTCACCGTTCGCTACGCTGCCCACCAGCTTAACCTGTGGCCGCACCCTCAGCAGCCGCAGGTTTCGCCGACCCTCCTCTAGACCGGGACTCCTGGTGCCGCGTCTGCGTTCTACGTCTGGGCCGCCTAGCTCACGTTCATGCCTCTGGCACGGACAAGCTCCTTGCCCACACTGTCCCCTGTGTCTTTCTCGGTTTCCCTCTTGACTCGTCTGACTGGCACTGACATCCCGACTCCTCGCACCTACGCTGAGGCCACCTCGGGAACCTAGGCCTCTCAGTGGATAGCTGCCATGGAGCACGAGATGGCATCTTGGAGATCCACCGGTACCTTCATCAACGCAGTTCCCCCACCTGGGGTGAACGTAGTCGATGGCCGATCGCTCTTCAAGGTGAAGCGCCCTCCTGGAGAGCAACCTGTCTTCAAGGCGCGTTACGTTGCTCGTGGCTTCAGTCAGCGTGAGGGGGGGGAATTTTTTCAGACCTTAGCCCTAACCCTGAAGATGACTACTCTTCGGGTACTGCTACACGTAGCAACACAGCGTGACTACGAGCTCCACTCACTCAACTTCTACACAGCTTTCCTCCCGGGCAGTCTACATGAGCAGGTGTACCTGCGCCACCCCCAAGGCTTCTCTGGCACCTTTCCCCCTGGTACCGAGTGGCTCCTCCATCGCCCTGTCTATGACCTGCAACAGGCGCCCCATGAGTGGCACGACACGCCGCGTGCTACACTTGCTGACCTGCAGTTCTTCCCGTCTTCTGCAGAACCCTCGCTCTTTCTTTGTTACAGCATGACTCTGTTGTGCATCCTTGTTTACATAGACGATCTGGTCTTCGCCACTGCAGACAGGGACGCACTGGCCTCCGTGAAGGCAGAGCTGCTGAAGAGACACACCTTCACTGACCTAGGAGAACAGCGCCACTACCTTGGCCTGTAGATCTCCAGGGACAGAGCAGCGGGCACCATCACTCTGACCTAGTCACACTTGGTGTGCCAGGTCCTTCAGAGGTTCGGTCTTCAGTTCTCCTTCGCATAGCCCACCCCTCTGCCAGTAGACCACAGACTCTCTGCTCCAATTCTGGAGGAGGCTGTAGAGCCTAGTGGTCCTTACGCAGAGATGTTGGGTCGCCTCATGTACCTAATGATTTGCACTCGTCCAGATCTCGCATACCCTCTTAGCATCCTGGCTTGCTTTGTGGCCTCCGGCAGACACCGACCACAGCACTGGTCTGCGACTAAGAGGGTTCTGCGTTATCTAGCAAGTACGTCAGGCATGGGGCTAGTGCTAGGAGGACGCAGACCCGTGGTTCTTACCGGACACACAGACGCTTCTTGGGCAGATGACGTCGAGACTCTCAGGTCCTCCTAGGGCTACAGCTCTAGCCTTGGTGTAGGTGTTGTCTCGTGGAGGTCCACTCGCTCGTCGTCTTTTGCCCAGTCTAGCTGTGAGGCTGAGATTTAGGCCGATGCCATGGCGGCACAGGAGCTCCGCTGGATGAGTTTTTTGCTCACAGACTTAGGTGAGCGGCCTAGCTCTGCTCCGGTCCTGTACGCTGACAACAAGGCCATGATCCTCTTGTGTCAGGAGCCTCGACTGGAGGGCAGAGCAAAGCACATCCAGCTGTGGTACTTCCTCCTGCGCGAGCTACAGCAGTGTCGCCAGGCCCGCGTAGTACACTTGGCCTCTGGTGCCAATACAGTTGATATCTTTACGAAGGCGCTTGCACCTAAAGATCATCAGCGGCACTGTGTACAGCTTGGACTCGTTCCTGTAGCACCTCATTTGCTAGGACCTTGATG